GCAGAACATACGTTCGAAAAAATGGAGCTACTAAATACTACACACATTATTTAAAGTTAAACGACATCCAGTAATAGCAAAAGATAGTGAATTTTTTACTCTCTTAGGAGTAGTATTAGGTTGTGAAACAGCTCTTAAATATGCTATTGCTAACACGTGTTGATCTACAAATATTCTACTTTTACTGAGTTTTCTCGCTGAACTTTTATGAAAAATCATTTGGATACATTTACTTGTCATCTCTATTTGCGACATCATTATGAATGAGAATTAAAACTTTCTCTAATGGGAAAAAAATGAAGAAATGACTTTTCCTACGATACCAAAGAGAAACGACCAAACACGCATCCCTAAAGAGATCTTCAAGCTAGAGAATGAACTGTATCTTTGAATCAATCAATTGCTGCAACTTTGTAATTCTGAATGGCATCCAGCTGTTTGCACTATCCCTATAACGATTCTTATTCCCCTTCCTATAGAAACGCATTGCTACTAGTTGTTACTTACTGATATGATTAATACTGATATGATTGATTGATCAATACTGATATGATTGATTGATTGAATGTAGTGTTTAAGGGAGCAAAGTCCACAAAGTCCGGTTTTCTCTGCTGTAGGATAAGATTTTAATGTTTCGAGAGTGGATCGCGCTTATAAGCAGGGCATAAAGTAATATTAATTTTTATGTCATAATCATTAACACCATCCATTTTTAAAAAAAGACTTTTCTGAATAAGTAGTAACCCAGATAATGGATACCTGCATTTTATTTAAAAAAAAGTTTAACGGATAATTCGCAAATTTGATAATTGATCCACAAAGTTAATCAAAATCTGCTTATTTAGCTAAGATTTTTTTTGTTTTTCTGCATCTAAACTGCTGTTTGTAGAAAATGCAACACCATGAAAGAATCATCAGAATCAAATGAAATTTAATGCAGAAACGACTTGTACTGATACAAATAAATGATGAAATTTTCAAAACAAAAGAAACAAATTAAGCGTCCGAAATCAGTATTTGGTGCAGCCACCACGCGCTGCAATAAGNATATATATATGTTTACTATAATAATAACTGAAACTCCACTCCAGGCTACCACTAGAAAATATATTTTTGGCATATACATTTATGTGGAGTTGGTATATCTGCATATGTATTTTGGATAACGTTATAATAAAAAGTCAGTTACCTGCCATTTCTAAAAAGGGCGCCTTTTCTAAATCCATTTCTTTCAATGGTTCTCCTTTCTGGAATAGAAGTAGAAGTATTTGTCCGGTCCATGTTGTTCCACACTTTGGATAAGTCACGAGGAAAAGATCGTTGTGATTTGGTTTGTATGTAAGTGCGGAACGGAATTTATCAGCTGGAAACATAGCAGGGATCGGAATGCCATCAACATACTGTACGGAATTGTCAGACATATTTGTTGCAGACAAATACAAACGAGCAATAAATGCAGGAGATACTTTAAAATTTTTAACTTGATGGCCCGTGAATCAAGATTATATCTTCTAGATATCTTTTCTCACCCTTATTTAACAGAAACCAAATAAGCTCTTGTGTCTTTTTTTATCTGGAAACAAAATTATCTTATCGCATGTTGATTATCTACTCACTGTGGTGTTCGATTATATTTAATGAAGCAAAGTAGCATTTAATTTATGCGTTTGAATTATTTAACAGTATTGATAAGGCAAAGTCAATTTAAATCATATTTATTAAATGAAGTTACTGATGTGTGATTTTTTTTATATTCATTATTTTTATCTTGATATCAACTCGCGATGAAAAACAGATGGACTCAAAAAAACAAAACCAGTCCAGATATAATCTATTAAACTGCTTCAGTTCACAAAGAACTTTTTCATATGACCTATTGCCAGAAAAAGGAACTGAAGTAATGACGTAAACGCAGTTGAAATGAAGTATCAAAAAAAGGAGTAATTTAGGCGAAATTGCAACTGAATATTAAACTCAAAACTTAAGAAGGAAGCTATAACAGGATTTTTTACCTCTAGATGGCAGCATGATATAGTGACTTGGTCAAAGAAAAGGCTTTTATTTTTTTTAAATATTATTTCATTGCGATTAATGATGTTCGAAGATCGTGAATTCCCGACAGTTGATTTAGACAGAAATATCACTGGAACTTTCCAGTTAGATCTGCAATAATATTGAATCATGCAACTGTAAGATAATATTTTGGCGTAACTACTTTAGGCAATGAAAATAAGTTAAATAATGAAAATAAAAAATTCTGTCTGTCTTATATACCTACATACAATCTCCAACTGTGTACCAGTTTAAGTGAGGGTTTTTACACATTATCTGACTGAGGGTTTGTGTGTGTGAGAAAAAATTGCCCGAGCAGGCGGTGCCCTACATCTTGGAGACCGGCTTCCCCCTCGTCTTCAAGTAGGTTGGTCCAAAGGAACAATCCAGATTAACATATAATAAAAATCAAAAACTATGTACAATGCTCAAAAATAAAAATAAAAAATAGCGACAGGTAGCACACTTTAATAAGAGCGTCTAATGTTGCAAAATATATTCAACTAGCATACAATACAATACATTATAGTGTAGTACAGTACAACACAATACAGCGCAACTGTTGTATTATATTGTATTGGGTTAGTTGGGTTATTCACTTTTCCTTCGAGGTTAATATTTCCTTACCTGTACTATGCATGATTCTTTATCGCCTTACGAGATCATCGCCAACAAAACCAATTATTTTTACTTTTTGAAATGCCGGATGCTATTTAGGCAAAGTATGAAATAATCGTCCTGATGAGGTTATTATGTAAATGATGTGCATGTTACTGTGAATGACCGAAATCGGTGGCTGTTGACTTTCACCGGTGAATGTTGACAATCAAATTAGTCGCTTTGGTGAATGTCCGAAATATTTATTACATCCGATTTGATATTAATTTATTCATGGATATAATTACATTTATTCGATATTTTAATACTTACTGACGATAGGTTAGAACAAACATCAGTGTAGGGTATACCGGGCAAATGTATAACGGGCAGTCGCACTGAACCTTAAAAAAACATCAGTGTAGGGGATACCGGGCAAATGTATACCGGGCAATGGCACTTGACCTTAAAAGAACATCAGTGTATACCGGGCAAATGTGTACCGGGGAATGGCACTTAACCAGACCTAGTATGACTAGACCTTTGGTAAATGTCTGAAATATATACTAGGTCTAGTGCCATTTTTGCTATAGCTTAAATATTTAAAAAAAATTAAACAAAGCGTTTGAATCAATTTTAAACTGATAACAAAATTATTGCTTTAAAATTAAAAAAATAATAAGAAGAACTGCGCCAAATAAGAGTAATTGAAGTAGTTACTTTATACAGCACATGTGCGGAAAAAAAAGTTAAAAAATATTATCCACGGGCATCTAAAAGTGGATGAATATCCCAAGACACCATTGTATTGTATTGTAAAGTGTTGGCATGATTATTAGTGTTAAGAAAAATTTGCTTTATTGAAATAATTCGGAGCAAAACCTCTTACTGATCATATTAATTTAGCTCACCCTTTTTCACGAAATTATTTATACTTCAACAAACAAATTATTTATTTATTTACTTTATTGCATCGTATTTGTTTGATTTGGGAAAATTAAATACATAATAGTGCAACTCAAAAAATTACAAAACGTTTTTTTTTTTTTTAAGTGAACAAATCCAAACCTCAATTTTATTTTGAGATTTAATTTATATTCAACCACTAACTATATGAAAGATGCTTTTTGAAAATAAATGATTATGTTGAAAAAATGTACTGAAAAAAGTTGTTAAATTTATTCTTCAACTTTAACACAATTCACGCGATATTATTGTAGTTTAATTTGTTATCAGGAAAATGCCTTATTTTGTTAAACAGTAAATGCTTAAAATGGAAAATTGTAAAAAGATTCCTAAATCAATCTATTTTTAGAGTCATTGTCCCAAAAATCTCTAAAATTAGTTTTTTTCCTACTAAAATAGAACATATAAAGACTTTTTTGTAAGTCCTAATATAACCTCGTAATATTATAAGCTATTTTATCGTTGTGATAAGCATTTTCAGTTAATAGTTGTTAACTTGTTCGTTACGTTTCGCTCAATTTCCAAATGGAAGGTAGTAGTAGCAAAGTTAGTGCCACCAGCGATTTACATGGGAATATATTTTTCCAGTTTATTTAACTGTGCAACCCGCTCTTTTCCCGTTCCTGGTTTCTTTTCGGCTTTTCTGTGATGTTAAATTGTTTATTCAAATCTGGACTAACAGATGACTCTAGTTAACCATATTTCTGCGAAATATACAAGAATGTTTTGTAACATTTTACAGTGTCTTTTCAAAGTGTGCTATTTGCTGCTTAGAAAGAAACTAAAACTGGCAACTACAAAAAAATTGCAAGGAAAATCAAATTTGGTGCAGCTAAGATTTTCAGGTAGGGCTATCTTAAGCTCCGTTTAAAAGTTTATCATGCTGAATTTCATTTCTAATAAATGTTTTATTTGTATATAAGATTTACTTTTTTATTAGTCTATATAATTTTATTGTCACACAATTTTATTTGTTTACAAGTTTTACTTTTATATTTCATAAAATAAATCATAATTTAACCAAGATTATTTATCTGAATTCTTAATGCTTGATGTTTATTCTTATTGCTACAAACCTAACGCTGAACTTACTCTCAAAGCAATCATAGTAAGAGCTTTGAATTGAAACATTCTAAATTAATACGAGTACAAAATATTAAGTTAAAAAATAATAAGTTTATTAAGTAGTACTAATAATAAGCTTTACAAATTTAAATAAATAACGATTCTTTAATAGTATTATGTCAACTTAATACATTAAAATTGTTTGTCAAATGTGAACTTCCATTCGCTTTTTTTTCCTTCTTTCCAGTCAGTTTACTTTTCATGTGATAACTCATGTTTCATTTATTTTTGAAAGATTTTAATATTTTTATTTATTTTTTCAAAACGTACAGATAAAAACACAATTTTTTTCTTTAATTTCCGGAGAATGGTATATAATTATTGCCATTATGTAAGTTGATATATATTTTCCTACTCACTAAATTTTATGCTTCTTTGACAAGTTTTTCCTACCTGCAGTAAAATAAAAAAATAGGAATTTTTTAATATTGTCAGTAACTCAAAATGATCACTGTTTGAATCCTAGCTTTTCAATGCGTACGAGCTTATACTATTTCTGCGTCTTGCTACGAATAATACTTTTAAATCAAATATTTCACAAAATCAAACACTTTACTACAACTGGAAAAAGTTTTCTTAAAAAATTTTAAGAGCTTGTATTTACAGAATTTATTAAGTTTTATATACTTTCAATATTATACTTCAAGAACAATTTATGGAAAACAGTAACATTGTATATCTTATGTAATACAGAAGTCTCGTTGAAACATTTTCTAGGAATAACAAAATATGGCAAAACTGTAAATGGATATTTCGTAAACTGACGTAAAAGTTTTGAAGCAAATGGTGCAGCTGAAAATAAAATATATCCTCTAAAGATGATCTTAAATTTATGACCACTTTTTGTTTAGAAATTATTCTACACTTTTTGGCTCTTCAAGGACTCATTTTGAGACATTTATATCTCATACTCAAAAAGTCTATTATGATATAAAAATATGTCAATGGACAATTTCGTTCCAATAGCTTTACATAAAATTCTTCCACAAACTTGGAATGTCAGTATTTTTTGTTCGTTCGGCAAATTTTTCATCAAGACGACGGCTTTGATCTTCCGAAAAGTGATTCCTCCAATCTCCAGTGACACCTTTTCTAAAGAACTGACCCATATCTTGCCCGAATTTCTCAGCGACATCGCTAGATTTCATCTGACACATTTGTTCCGCGAAAAGATTTTTTATGACATCTGGAACATTTATGCTCATTAACTCCTCCGGTTTCATGGTAGCCATGCCTCCCATGGATTTCGTCATGAATTCTCTCATTTCCTCCATACTGCTGTGCTTCTTGATATTGCTCAAAATGTCAGGATTTGTTCGGATAAGTTCAGCGAACTTTTCATCATCAATGAATGAAGCCATTTTCAAAATGGCGCTATCTATGTCTTGTTTGAGCTCTTCATAGGTGAGGAATAAGACATTGGGATCATTTCTGAAAGAGATAGGATGATTAAGTTATATTTACAGTTGGAAAGGCAAATTTAAATTATATAAGGTAAACCCGTGTACCTTGGATCAATTCTAAGTGTCTATTTACTTATTTATTTATTTTTATAAAATAATTTAGAAAATCTGTGAAAAAGTTATTACATGTTTGTGTATTATATAAATTTCTGCAAATGAATTCTATTCCACATTTCAGAAGAGAAATTTAAAGTAAAGAAAATTGGTCTAAAGTACAACAAAAATTTGCAAATATGATGTAAGTTTGTTATCATCATCATAAAGTTAACTCGTCGTCAATGGCCGTTCACAGCTTTTTTTCTATCCATCCAGCAAATAGTGCCATTGATGTGCTATGTTCAAGTGATTGAAACGCAAAATAGAGTTAAAAAGAGGTTACATATTTTTTTTAATTCTAAATTAAATGTATCGCTACAAAATTAAGCCGTCGTTGGCATGAGCTTAATGCCTTATTTCAAGTTCTCAAATGTAACAATTTCCTTAAGTCTAGTGACATCATAATGTAAGGCTTTTTCAAAGAACTTACAAACATACACTACCGGTCAAAAGTTTGCGAAAATTTTGAAATCTGCAAAAAAAAGGTCTAAGTTCAAATGTTCATAGAACTGCGAAAAATCATTCAAATTGCATGAAAATTTGGTATGTTCTAAAGTGAACCCTCTACAGTTAGTTACATATGATCAAATTGCAATACTTTGTTTTTTGCGAACTGAATCCAGCTTTTCATCATGGGTTGTTTTCATGGTGAAAAAAGTTGTTAAGTTTGAACACTTGCCAAACTTGAAAAAAAATTTTTTGTACTTTCTGTTAATAGAAAATAGTTATTTGAGCCGTTCTATGTAACCCCTCAAAATTTCAGATCGATTTGATTTTTTTTGACGAAGGTATAGAATTTTGAAAAACATGTGTATTTTTCTCGATTTTTGAGCATTCCACATATGCGGTCTTTTGGTCTATACATCTTCTACCAAAGAACTTTTTAATTTTAATGCTTTCTATATTTTCAAAAAATTAATACTGATTATAAAACAAATATTCTTATTCATTATTGTAATTATTGTTATTACAAGGAATTTATTATGAATATAATTAAAACAATATCTCAGGGATGTCACATTTCATCGAAAATTTGTTTGTTCTTGCAAACGATGCTATGATATTTCGTATCGAAATCAGTTATGGAACATTTTACAACAGGAATGGAACTCTATATCACTTGAAGTGATTAATGACGAAAGCCACGCATATGTAAGGCTATAATAAAAGCAAAAGGTGGATGGTTCGAGGAATCTAAGATTTAAATGTTAATTTATTTAATTACAAAATACGAATAAGAATATGTTAAATATTTGACCTGTTGTAAATAAAATAGTTTAGTAAAAATGCAAATTTTTTATACTATTGTTATTATTTTTTTAGAATTATTTATGTAATTATTGTTATAACTTTTTATTTTAATTTAATGTAAAGTAAAAATATCACAACAAAACTAATACATATAAGCAATAAATATAAACAATAAATATAAACAATAATAATTACAATAATGAATAAGAGTATTTGTTTTATAATAAATATTAATTATTTGAAAATATAGAAAACATTAAAATTAAAAAGCTCTTTGGTAGAAGAGGTATAGACCAAAAGACTGCATATGTGGAATGCTCAAAAATCGAGAAAAGTACACATGTTTTTCAAAATTCTATAACTTCGTCAAAAAAAATTGAATCGATCTGAAATTTTGAGGGCTTACATATAACGGTTCAAATAACTATTTTCTATAAACAGAAAGTACGGAATTTTTTTTTGCAAGTTTGGCAAGTGTTCAAACTTTAGAAATTTTTTCACCATAAAAACAATCCGTGATGAAAATCTGGATTCAGTTCGCAAAAAACAGAGTATTGCAATTTGATCATATGTAACTAAATGTCGAGGGTTCACTTTAGAACATATCAAATTTTCATGCAATTTGAATGATTTTTCGCAGTTCTATGAACATTTGAATTTAGACCTTTTCTTTGTGGATTTCAAAATTTTCGCAAACTTTTGACCGGTAGTGTAAGTTGAACCGTGGTAGCTCAGGTATGGAACATTTACCTCCCAATGAGGTGACTCAGGTTCAAATCCCATCGGTGGATGGTTAATACGAATTCTGCACCCAGCACAGTGCTGACGTAAAATATCCTCAGTGGTAGAGACGGATCATGGGTTAAAATCCTCTCGCCTTAAAATTATTCGTCGGCGAATTTTGTCTATGAAACGCAAATGTGGGTTAGTTCCATCAAAAAAACATCCAGGAGGGCCTATCGTTCATCCAAGAGCTCCATTGTCTTCTGAGATGGGTTCCAAATTACAAGGATATGGAGTTGAACACTGATAGTCATAAACCCTTAGGGAAAATTGCAGTAGAAATGCCTATGGTAACCCATGGCAACCATAGATATATATATATATGATAAGATACCTTAAGCCTATGGTAACCACAGAAATTCGTCTGGCATTATATGGCCAGACACCATAGTCTTATAGTATGATTAAAGAGAAGTACCATAGACGTATGACAAACTAATGGAACCACACTATACGCATGCATCATTCATATGGGAGGGTGGACATGGTTGTGGAAGGAAGCAAGCGTGTTTTAATGCAACTCCGACTAACCAACTCCGACAATTATGCGTTAATTAAACCAATCCATCAAAAACGATAGTAATTTTAAGTAAAAATCGCTCACCTCATAAAAATGTATAGTTATTTAAAATTATTTTCGATTATTTCAATAAAAAAGACAGCATTTCAACTTCAAAAATTTCCTCTGCTGATTAGTCAACGGCATGACATGCGCGTCGGATGATGGAGCATTATTCGGCCAAAAAAATGACTATTCTTCGGTCAAAAATTATAAAGTTGTTTTTTTCTTTTTGTCATTTTATTATTTTTTTGAACTTCTGACTCAATTGAGTTTAAAATTTCTTGAAACTAATCAATATCCTACTGGTTTTGACACAACGGTTTTCAATTTTTTTCTTAACTTAGTCTATTTTATAAACAAATGATTTGTCTACAAATAAATAATAATGCCTATTTTATAAACATATAATCTAGAACCAAATTTGCTCTCGCAACTACAATAATGTTATGTGAATTTCGACATTAGATTTCGAATCTTTCTACGATCTTGTATTCAATCTTTGATGTAGTAAATGATTTTTGATTAAGGAACAGTAGAGAACCAACAAATCTGAAAGTCCATTCCTTTTTATTTTTTTCCATTACTCATATTATCTTTATTGTTTTCTAATTAATTTTTGCCAGGAAGATTTAAAGTATCCGTGTATTGTCTGTTAAGGGTTCTTTGCTTTCGAACATAATTATTGTCTTTTCTCATACATTCAATAACTTAATCTCTCACCTTAATTTATCTTATTATAATTATTCTTCTGGTATAATCATTCTTGTGAAAAGCCCCCGAAACCCACTAAAATTCAATGACCCTTGTTTATTACTGCCTATGCATAAATTTTCTTATATATAGTTGTATGGTGAACTTCAATAGGGCCAGAGCCTATGGAAAAATTTAATCAAAAGCTATAACGCACCATAATTTTATGGCTAAAATATTCTACATAAAAAATACTATTGGATATTCCGTTGTGGTTTTACCTATGGTAAAGTTTTACAGTGTACTTTTTCCATATACATATGGCAAAAGTGTAAATCAAAATTTCACCTTAGCCAAAACGTCATAGGAATATCCTACGGTATTTTTAGGGAAGGGAACTCAGAATTGGATCGGCTGTTCAATGCCGGTTATAAAATAAAATTAACATAAGTTTAGAGCTTTGCAAATTTTGGGTCAAGAAACCTAAAGGAAAAAAAGTGGAAGTAAATTTGCTTAAATAAACTGAATATATTATTTATGCTTACATACAATTTTTTAAAAAAAATAATATGATAGCCAATTATAGCAATTAACATATTTGGATAGTGAACAACGCTATTTTTATCATTTTCAAATACAGAACATTAAAAAAATTAATGTATTCTTGAATTTTTTGTAGTATTTGTCTTTACCTCTGTTTGGCAACAGCGATAAGCTGTAAATGTACTAGTTCTAAATTTAGTGGAAACGTGAAAGTGTGACAAATTTTATGTTTTTCCTACTACTCAATAGAAAGGTATGCATACATTATAGTGATATTTTAAGAATAAACTTTCCTACCACTTTTTACCATTTAAATATACTCATACAGGTAGTTACAAGTTAATTTTTGTTACTCAGAACTGATTTTGAGCCACATGGACTTACCTGTGAGAATACCATGATAGTAGATGGTCAAAATAATCACCGTAGTCAGTTTTTCCAGCCAAGAAATCCTCAAAAAAGTCATCAAACGTGCCCGTATATGCATGCCAAGGTAGGTTTTTCATGTGGTAATAGTATGATACGCAGCAGTCCTTAGGATTTCTTGTTAGGTAGATGTACTTTGAATTTTTAGACCAGGGTACCATGTGATAGGGTAGGTGCGTTTTGATGGGACCTGGTCTGGGCATCATCTCCATAAATATTGGCTCTGATAATAAACAGTAACATTCATTACACATTTCACAGTATCGGTTATAAGTTAGTAAGAAAATTTAAAATACAATACATAAATGATTATTTGTATAACTACTATACGAAATTTAATGTTGTGTTCAATTTTTGATAATTGTTCTTTTCAAAAAGGATAATTCCGTTTTGAAAAAAGGAAAAAAGTAATGGCACAAGTAATTCATTATTATATTAGAACAAGTGAGTCCTGACTGCCATCGAATATTAATAATGTAAGTATTGTCATTTGGATCTGATATCAAAGCGCAATGTTTTTTTAAAGTTTGAAGTAGAAAGTAATAGAAAAAATAGCCATTTCGTATTAATAAATAAATACTACCACTTTTATGTAGGTGTTTTTTCATGCCTTGGCCTTTTATTTTAGCGTTGCTACGGTCTAGAAATAAGAAGCGATATAAAAAAAATATAATAATAAGTGATAGAACACACATTCTACAGGAACATTTGAAACATTCTATAGGATTGCATTATTTATTGCAATCCAGCTGATGTTGGAAGTGCTCTAATGCTTACTGAGCATTAATCCAGTAAGCGCTACAGTATTACAAATGAACCTGATCCGGTCACATAATCCAGTGCGAAAACGCAACTCCTGGACATTTCTCTATCCGTAAACTATATCAAAAGTGTTACGAATAGATCGTGTCCTGAACTGCAACAAAGAATAGGTAATGCTACCTTAGCACTTTGGTAAAGATCATTTTTACATCACTACGAAGTGATGCGCAAGCGCAACGTTCATGGAATATGGATTATTGCTCCCATTACACCATCAAACTAAAGCTCTCTCTCGACCTTTGTGCCGCTTTCGATTCATATTGGCTGACGTCGATCACGTGGGTAAACAGTCGCCATATTGGTGACTAGTACGAATGGCGAAGTATCATCACGCCCGATCTGTTATTTCGATTTTTGTTTACTTTAGTTGTTTCATACTTTTAAATTAATAATGACCGATTATTGCGCATTTGGGTGTTCTAATAGGTCAAATTTAGTCATTAAATTATGTTGTTTACCTGTTGGATATAGCAATAAAAAGTGACGGAAAGTATGACTGCATAGAATTGATAGAGATAAATGAAATCCAAATGAAAACAATAAACAGACTATGTTAAGTTTAAAATTAATTAATTTATTCATTTATTTCATATTTCACATAATATTATTTATTACGAGGAGCAAACCTTATAAAAGAATAACGTGTCTATTGTAATAAACTTACCACTATGGAAGATTTCCCTCTTTAAAGATATGTTATTAACATTATTGTTCATTAATAAAATATAAAATTATTAGAGAATCAAACTGAATACAATTTAAATACTGAGTAATAATTTGGAAAAATATATTTTTATATACCATTCCATTTATATACTTTGTAGTTTGATTGTTTTACTTTGTCCGATTTCTAAAATTAAAATGCATATTTGAACTTTTTTAGTATTATAACTGAAAAAGAGTAGATAAAATGAAAAAATTTTTTAAAATATCAAGAATTATTTATTAAAATACTATATTTATCATTCAATAATATATGTATTCATCTAATCTATCTCAATCATAGTGAATCTGCATAAATTGAAAAGCTTTAACTTCTATTTTTGTAATACAGATAAGAGGATACTAATATAACTCAATAAAGACAAGATTAAACTGTTTTGAAAAAAAATTAAAAATTCTTCCAAAAATAATAACGCTGTTTAAGTGAATTTATTGGTTTAATATTTATAGTATGTTTTATATTCTAATTGACAGACACATTTTCATTTAATCTAGTATTTTAAAAATCAAACAGCAATTTTAAAATATTTTTCGATTTTGTTATTTGCATATAAAATCTTAATTAATATTTCATTTTAAGTATAATTAATTATTTGTACTTAAAGTTTTGACAATTTTTTGCTATGAAAGACCAAATAACAGTTGGTATTGATTAAGAAGAGGAAAATATTTCAACTATAGGGAAAAAACATTTTCTTTGAACACTGTTAATAATTATCATAATGATTGAAATCACAAATCATATTAAATCCCGTGATACTTCGGTTTAGATCAGTGTTTCCCAAACTTATGACTTTTGTGTACCCTTTCTAAATTTTTCGTAACGCTGTGTATCACTAATAAAAAAATGAATGTACTTTTTGTTATAAAAGAATTGCTCTAAAATTAAAAATCACAACTGGCTGTTGACACCACTAATTATTAACTGTTAACTCTGAAAAAAAATAGCCAATAAAACGTAACAAAAATTTTCATGGCTAGCTTTGTTTTTGAATAAAATGTTTTGAAATTTTCGCTTGTTGCAAGATATTTTGCATAGGAATGCGTACCCCTATAATCTGTTCCCATACCGTTGGGGGTACGCGTACCACATTTTGGGAAACACTGGCTCAGAATATATCATACTTTGAAACTCAGAAAAAAAACTACTGCAAAATATTTCGAAGATTTTGGAAAAGAAAAGGTTATAGCAGATTAAAAAAATTCGAAATTAGAAAGTTTGAACTTATAAGATATCATTTTTACTGAAAAGAATAAAAATAAAAAGTATAATTTCAGTGAAAAAAAGTATAAATAGTAATAATAGTTAAAAGAATAAATAGTAAATATTTAATTTATCTTCAAGAGTATGAAAATATTAAGAAATTAAAAATTTCATTTAAGAATAGAAACTCCGCATTTTCACATTGAGAGTTGCGATAACAATAGAGTTGCTGTCACCAAAATGGTGACGAGTCTTTACTTAAATTACGTTTCCAGAGTTTCATACCAAACTATTTCATTAAAGAGGTAATTTTTGCATCATTACTTGAGTTAAAAGAACTTTGAAGAATCAAGTTGAATTAATAAAATAATTGTATAGACATGTATTTATAACTGTTACCCCGGATCAAGCCCGAGGCTTTGCCTGATTCACGAAAAATATTTGATTATATATACTATAATGCTGAAACATATAGCTGTCAACTCTCTCGAATTAGTCGGGCGTTACTTTTATTTTAGTTGTTAAAAATTAATGCCTTAATATTAAATTCGTGGTAAAATAAAGTTGTTTTAAAATGATTCTGACTTCCAAAAATTTTAAACAATTACATTGAAGTCATTATAAATATTCGGAAGTCAATATGCTTGCGAGAGGTTTAAATAAAAATATTTTAAAGTGTTTCTTGTAACGTTAACAGTAAAGTTTTATAAAAATTCTGTTAGTTACCGCTTGTTTTTTAAAAAATATACTTGATATTTACAATTTCAGATGTCTTCTTGGCAGGAATGCCACAAACAACTAAAAATTTAAAAAGGGATGGAAACCCAGGTTTAAATTTTATATTATCTAGTGAATTATTGAATCGTAACTACCACCATAACTTACATTTGAAATTATTCATTATTAAAACAAAATAATTTTTTTACATTCACTTTCAACAATTAAACAGAAAAAAAAATGAAATTCACATAATTAAAATTCAATTTCTCAGGATTTATGGTTATGGTAATTAAAGCACTATTTAGTTATGGTTAATAAACTAGTTAACTAGTTATGGTTAATTAAAGGATTAATTATTCTGGATGGTCCTTTTATGTGCACTGCACTTGCAAATTTTTACTTACCAGACAAATCCAGGAACGGAAATTTCAGGAATAAATCCAGGAACGACGACAAAGGTTCTCCTTTTTGAAAGAGAAGCAAGAGAATTTGTCCGGTCCAAGTTGTACCACATTTAGGATAAGTAACCAAAAACAAATCATCGTCACGTGGTTTGTACTTGAGAGCAGCACGGAATGTACCCGGATTGTACTTCCCCGGTATTTGAAAGCCGTCAACGATCTGGGATAACGATTTCATAGACATTTTTTCTCTCTAATGAAAACAAACGAACGAAAAATACATTTATAATTAAATGAGTATCCGGTTTAGAGTTACTGCTATCGCTGCAACTAGACTATCTTAGATAATTCCGTTCGATTACAACTGATAAATGAAATTTTAATTTTGTTTTTCTTTCGTTTCCAGTTCGGTCAAAAGTTTGTTCTATCAAACATCCTGGGTCGAATATTTCATTCATTAAATCCATTTACTGTTTTGACCTTCCTTAATTCTTTTTTTTTTATCATTTCATTCAATCATTCATAAAAGTATTACTTATTTTTCGACTCTTATTTTTATTATTATTTTATTTAACCATGAAATTTATCTCTCCGCATCCGTCTAAGATTAGATATTTTCAACAACAGAGATTTCTTTATCTCTGGAATCATCATGGCATCAGGATTTGAACACTTGCATCAGTAATTTTTACATATTTGATTTAAAATATTAAATAGTAATTTTTATTATTAAGTAACAATAAATTTTGTTTTTTACTTAATAATAGGGGGAGAGTGTTGTATACCTTGGACAGCACGTACCTTAGGTCAGTGTAATTATTTACACCATTTAGAGGAGGAATTTTGCACCCTGTATATCTAGTTGTGATCTGAAATAATGGGTACTAGCTATTATAAGTATATGCCAAATTATCTACTGTGTTTTCGACCACTTCAGGTTCTCCAGTCATAAGTGTTACAAAAAGTAAATATTTTTTATATATCTTTCTCACACAGCGGGAATGAAGGTCCTCATCTCTTTTTCAAGTTGGGAACAAAGAATTGAAATATCAAGAGCGTGAGCTGTTATTAGCAGGAAAGCTTAAATGTGCATGTTTAAAAATTTTTGATAAAATTTTTTCTGGCGTGAAGAGCGAGAAACTAAAGCAGCTGCGCTGTAAATTAGGAATTGAAAAGTTGAAAGAGAGTAGTTCATACCAATACACAAAGTGTTCTATCATAGAAAAATATTTATTTTTTTAAAGCATAATGTTTAATTTCTGAAAGTTTTTCTGTTGTAATTATTCGCAAAATAAAGGTGGCAGCTGTTTTAAATTAGTATTTATTATGAACTTTGGAAAAAAAAGAGAAAAAAAAAGAAGAAGAAAAAACTCAGATATACGAGAGAGAAGTTGCCAGATTACGAAGTGCAACTGTACAAGATAAAAAAAAAATAGCGTGAAGCTCGCTGATAGAATGCTCGATTTATAACATTTTATATTGCATGTCATTTATTTATAATTTATTTTAATTTAACTTACTCATGGATAGATCATTTGACAGCTTTACAGTGATAGACCAAAGGTCTGAAATTTATAAATTACGTTTTTAACAAAGTTGTACAGCTTTAATGGTAATAGTTTATTAAAAGCATAATTATTGTTTTGTTTATGCAATTTTTTCTATCACGTGTCATTTATTTCAATCCGCCCAAAGTTGCAAGTTTGTTGATAATAGAAAGGTAAAAATTATTGAGAAATTGTTCTTCGAATGCTTGGCGTGTTCTGCTTCAATGTTTGGCATGTTCTCATTAGTTTTCTCAAGTTCTTCTGCCTTTTCCTCAAGGAAATTTTGCATCTTATTTGTTGCTAAGAAAATGGCGAGCGACTTTGGTTATGATAGAACTCATACGGATATTTTCAGGCTCCCGCTAGAGGCGTACTCGAGCGTTGCGATCGCGAATAACTTATTGTTGGCAAAAAATATTTTTTTTTAAAAATGGCTATAATGATTTTAAAAATTATTTAAAGTTTCAAGATTTCACGGTAGAACGCTTTCATAATAAGTCTAATTTAGTAGCGAGTAACCGTATAAGATTGTTCAGCAGCCTTCCTGGGTTGGTCAGCGAACAGGGATCATTTTTTTTTATTTTCTAGAAGATTGGGAAAAGAAACCGTTTACATTTAAAAACGGAACTAAAGAACTCAAATTTCATTCTCTTTAAGATAAAATAATTGTTTTTTTATGTTTGTTCCTTCGCTGCTGAATCAAATATGACTACACACAAGTCAAATCGAATGAATTGTCCAAAATTTAAAACAGTTTTTTTCTATGAAAATATTTCTTTCGACATGCACTTGTACAGTGCACCAAAAAAAAAAGCTCTACCCTGAATAACTTTTGATCTAAAGATCGAATCCTCACGTTCCAGCACTCAAACTTTATGGTTCGAAGGGGTAACCAAAAATATGCTAAACGATTAGTGCAGATGATATTTTAAGTTACGAAATCAAACACAAAAACTCTGAATAAACATACCTGTTTTTCGACGGATTAGAACTTTTGACCCCAAAATATAGGGAGTAGTTGCAATGTAGGAAATATGGTTCCCATGGTATGGTATGGAGGGATCCGAAGTTTGGACCCCTTAATTTTACTTTTACTTTTAGGGTATTTTGCCGTATCTCGAGAACTTTTTAAGCGAATTTGAAGAATTTTTGCATACAATTATAAAATTCATTTATGAAAAGATAATTCTATGCAAAAAAATAAATTTTTGTAAATGTTTATTATTTTTAATTATTTTAATTAGTAATAGTTGAAAAATTTTTGAATCGTAAAGTATACAATTTTTTTACATCATTTTAAAGTATTTAATTTTTTATCTCAAAATATAAAATTTTAGCGAAATCTGTCGAATAGTTGCTCAGAAATCAAATTTCAAAAATGCAACTTTTTTAAAGATAATTGAAAAATTATAAGGGTTTTGCGTACAAAAAACACAATCTTGTATTTTCACTTATATACGCAACTCATGTAGCAATTGTTTAAAAAAGAACAGCTAGACATTTTTAATGGTTCGCATTGTTTCTTTTTTTTCTTCTTTAATGCTAACTTAAAAAGTTTCTTTAATGCTAACTTAGAATGCTAACTTAGAAAGTTAGACGGGTAACTTATACAAATAAATCATTAAATAAAAAAATTTGAATCTTTTTGTAATAAATAAATTTATTACAGTACTATGTGTAAATATAATTTTTCTCTGGTTCACTAACAGGAACAACTGAACATGATATTTTTGAAATTGTTTGATTTATTTTTCAGCATACAAGTAAAATATTATTTTCCGAAAAATTATCATAATGATTTTTATAAATTTTAATCAATGTCTGAGAAGCAAAAATTGAAAAATTCTGTTTCCAAGGTAACTTAAATGCTTGAAAAATTTAAACCGAAAAAAAAATTTAATACTAAAATTTAAATTGAATAAAATAATTATTCATTTAAAAATGATAACGAAGTTCAAAATTTTTTTTTGCGATTGTCAAGCTGAGCTATTTTGAAGCAGAAAAAAATTTGATTCATAACTTTTATGTAGAAAAGTTATTTATATTTAGTGCTGCCATCTAAAATATAAAATCAAAACTAACAATAAATATAAAATTAAAACACAAATTTAGAATTTGACGAATCATATGTAAGCTTCCCGTGCGTCTATATCTCAAAAAGTCACATTTTACAACTTCAGAAAGAAATTCAAAAACAGAAATAATTTTAAAATATATAATTATATACATGTATTCTTATCACAGGATTTTTAGATATTTCAGAAAATTAAAAAAAAAAAAACTCTCTAATATTGTTTATCGTTCACAATAATCGCAAATCAATCTAGTTATTAACTGCTAATTGAATGTGAAAGAATATTTAATCGAGCTCACATTATAATTCATACAGATCGCCTAAGAAACTGAACAAAAAATTTTTTAAGAACGATTTTGTTAGGCATTTCTGTTCAACGAAACTACCATTCTTCACAACTTCTACAACTTCTACTTGGCTACCATTTTTTTTTTTTTTTAATCCTATCATTATTAAAGATATCGTAGTGACATGAAATACAAAATTATACCCCAGCCTAAAAATAAATAATTAATTAAAAAATATAAAAAAGGCAGTTTCCATCCAACTAAACCACTGGTTTTCTGAGCTTCATTATTTGTTAGTTCATGCAGGTAATATGAGAAACTTGGTTAAAAAAAGTATTCTCAAAGTATATATTCTAAAAGTATATATATTTTAAAAATACACCCTTCATTCAAAAAAATATGGAAAATATTTCACATAGATTTGAGTCATTTCAACTTTAAAAAAGTACTTAAAATATTAAAGGAAGAAAAAAGCGTGATTCCTTTCCACTAAATGATTGGGGTAACTTTGCCCCTTTGTGGGGAAATTTTTTGCAATGTACATGGCATCACATTATGATTCTCTGCAGAGGGTATCTCATTTGTGAGGCCACTTCCTCATTTTAGACATAGATCTGGAGGGGAAGGAAATTTTCTCCTGATACCCGTGAGTATGTGTGAGTTTATATTTTCTCATGCAGTGGTTGGAAAATCTATATTTATTTTGTGGTTGACTACAACTAATATTACTTTATTACAAATGTAATTAATTAAAACTGTTTTTATTTAAATGTTGATATCACAACAAATTGCTTTCGAAATTTAATCACTACTTCAACATTTTAGGAGTGGTTCAACGTTGTTGGAGAATTTAATTTTCACCAGTTTTCAAAATGGTTTTGAATAAAAATTGACTTATTTAAAATTGAACATGAATTGACTTGAATAAAATTAGGAAAATTTATTCATGTTTTGATGAAATAGTTTATAATTCTAAACCATTTGTTACGAATTTGTTCTTTCAACCTTCAATATCTCGTCAGAAAGAATTAATTTCAGAAATGCTTCTAAATTATCTCATATATGCGTTTTCGTTAAGTGTATAATGCTTTTTTATTTCTTATAAAAATAAAATATCGGGTTGTTCGGAAAGTAATTTCGTTTTTCCGACAGACGATTTAATTGTATTTTTTCGAACCCAACTTCACACTTAAGCCGCATTATCATTATATGTTTTGAGAGCTGATATAGCAAGGCTTGTGTGTGAAAAAGTTCAATTAATTATACTCAGTAGTTTTTGGTTGGTTATGCAGTAGTTTTAAATATGGTGAGCAATAAACAGCATTTTCGTCATATTTTGAAATTTACCGATGTGCATGAATTAAGGTCTGGTTTCTTAGGACAAGCGCCTTATCTGGGCGTCAGCGGGACGTCAACGTCCCGCTGACACCAACAAAATACTGATTTGTTTGCTCAAGG